TCCAGAGGAGGGACAGTGGTTTGGACATGTCCAGAGGAGGGACAGTGTGTATATTGGTAGAAGGATGTTAGAAATGCAGCTGCCAGGGAAAAGACAAAGAGGAGATATAAGGAGCCCTGTTATGGACTTGCGACCCGTCCAGGGTGTCCCCCGCCCCTCGCACAGTGATTGCTGGACATGGGCACCAGTGACCCCCGTGACCCAAAGTGGAAGAAGCGGGTAAAGAAAATGGATGGATGGAGATATATGGACACAGTTAGAGAGGACATGGAGGCAGTTGGAGTGAGGACAGAGTGAGATGGAGGAGGACGACTCACTGTGGAGACCCTGAAGAGGGAGAAGCCGAAAGAAGAAGAAGAAGAAGAAGAAGAAGATCCTACAATCCATGTGTTAAACAGAACGTTTAATCAAATTCCAGTGAAGTATTCTTTCACTTGGGTTAATAAAATGTTTAAAACAAAACAAAGCAAATTACAGCAAAATGAATGAATAAAAGTCAAATAATAATAAAAAAATAAATAAATAACTTTCAAATAGAACTAATAATAAATAAATAATAAAGTGCTATGTGTTGTCATCACTGTAGGTTTCCATACAAAGATGAAATTGGCTTTGCATTTATGCCAGGTGGAGCAGTGGGCAGCTATGTAAGCGCCTGGGGAGCAATTGGGGATTGGGTGTCCTGCTCAGAGACAGCACAACATGTGAAATGACCGGGGGTTGAACCCAGGACCTTTGGGTCCAGAGTCCTGCCCCTAAACCATCTCAGCCCCAAATATTAATGAAATATTAATCATAAAAGATGTTCTCCTCCAAATTTACAAGATTCAATAAAACTAGCTAAGTATTATTTGCAAAATGATGAACAATTGGTTTCAGTTTTGAAACAGAATCTAAATAAACCAAATCAAATGTATTTGTTAATCAGATTTAAAAATCACTGCCTTGTGACAAAAAACAAACAAATAATACAAAAATAAAAAGCAAACCAAGAGATCAGAAAAGCAAACAACAATGAAGTATATAAAATTTGATCAAACTAAATATTATGAGTAATTTAAAAAAAAAAACACTTTCATCTGTCATGCTGTATTAAAAGTCAAAGAGTGAAGACGTTTTTTTATGAGACTTAAAAACACAAAGAGTTGAAGGTGGTTCCCAGTTTAGGAGACACACACTTGTGAGGCGCACAGATAATGAGGTGCACAAAACGTGTGAATTGTCTCATTTTTTATTTTCACTAAGAAAACTGAGAGAGCAGCATATTTATGAATGATTTAACAACTCACGTGTGATGATTCCTCATGTTGACAAGGTGTAGACCAGTGCTTAGCTTTTAATTTGTAAACAAAATGACGCTGGAATGCAAATG